TTCAGCAACTAAGTGAAACCCTGTTTCAGAATAAAAAATAAAAAGGACTGGAGATATAAAGTGGTAAAGTGCCCTTGGTTCAATACCCAGTATACCCAGTACAAAAAAAAAAAAAAAAAAACCACATATGTGTGTGATGAGACCAGGAAACTCAATTTTTATTTTACTTTAATAAATTTTAATTTAAAGAACCACATGTGTCTGATGGCCCCTGTATTAGACTGAGCAGATCTAGTGGACCTTAATTATGGAGAGGGCATTTTTGAATCTTCTACAAAATTTCTGAACCAACTCCACTGTTGTTGCTGTTATATTTCTCCCCAGCCTACCCAATTCATACCCTAAAGTAGTGTAAGAATCTAGCAAGACAGGGTGGGGGGACATTGGGATTAAGTGTGAACCCTTGAGAAGATCTCACATGTGATACARGACTACTGCCCTTAACCCACCTGGTGAGAACCCTTGAAGTCAAGTGTGCCAGTTTTCTATTTCTATGTCACAAACCACCCCAAAACATAATTCCCTAAGATAGCAATATTTCTTTTCCTCAGTCTGTGTTTTGGGCAGGGCTCCAGGCAGGTAGCTCATCTCTGCTCTGCTTGATATCAGCTGAGGTGGCTCAAATCCTAGGTCTAGAGTCATCTGAAGACTTGCCCATTTACATGTTTGGTAGTGGATGTTGGCTATTGATTGGGACCCTAGCTGGGACTTTAGCCAAGGCACCTACATGTGTCTTGGGCTTCCTCACAACATGGTGGCTGAGTTCCAAGGGTGAGTGGAGTGGGAGTACCAGGTGGCTGCTCTATCCTTTTTTAAAAATTTTAATTAGTCTCAGAAGTCATGCCGTGTCACTTCTGCTGCATCCTGTCCATTAGATATCAGCATGAAGGCTCCCTGCTTCCTTGTTGCCATATCCTGAGCTGATTTCCTCCTTCACAACTTCCATCATGATCTGCCTCACTTCCAGCCTAGAGCAATGAAGTCAGCCAACAATGGACTATGAGCTGCAAATAAAAATTTCCTCATCTGAAAGAGAGAGAGAAAGAGAAGAAAAGAAAAGAAATCAGCCATTAAGGTCAGCCCATATTCAAGAAGAGAGAACTTAAAAACTCAACTTTTTTTTTTTTAAATTGAGATGGGATCTGGCCCCAGACTCCTAATCTTAAAAGATCCTCCTGCCTCAGCCTCCTGAGCAGCTGGGACTATAGGTGTGTACCCCCATGTCCAACTTCAGCCTTTGTTGATAGGAGTGTTAAAGAATTTGTTGTGGTGCACATCAGTGATTCCAGTAATTCAAGATGCCAAGGCATGAGGAACTCAAGTTAGAGGCAGCCAGGGCAACTTGGCGAGAACTTGTCTCAAAATAAAAAATAAAAAGGGCTGGAGATGGAGCTCAGTGGTACCACCTCTGGGTTCAATCCCTGGTACTGGGAGCAGGGGGGAAACAGGGAGAAAGAATTTGCAGACCACAGTTTAAAACCTCCACATAGACCTGGGAGTGAAGAGCACCAAGCACAGAACTCTAAGGAGCTTCACTGTTTTGGGGGGACAATGAGCCTCTTCCTACTTAAACCTTCAGTAAGTCAGTAAATAGCAAGCACACGGAAAATCACAAACCAGCTCCCCAGTCAATTAAGAAATTTTTCTGGGGCTGGGGATGTGGCTCAAGCCGTAGCGYGCTCGCCTGGCATGTGTGCGGCCCAGGGTTCGATCCTCAGCACCACATATAAACAAAGATGTTGTGTCCGCCAATAACTAAAAAATAAATAAATAAATATTAAAATTCTCTCTTTAAAAAAAAAAAAGAAAGAAAGAAATTTTTCTGTGCTCCTTCCTGAACACCTGGCCCCAGGAGCAGCCACTTGTCCAGAAGTACCCCCAAGTGCCTATTTTCTAGGCCTCTGATGCAGAGACTTCTCTATTGCACATACTCCTTGAGTAACATCCTGATTCCTTTTTTCAGAAATTCTTGCATAGTAGAGTGGGAGGAGCCTGCGGCCAGGACACCTGGATTCTGATTCTCCATCCTGCACAAACCTATAAAAAAGGAAAGGTTATTGCAAGAGAGTAGACTGTGGAGAATGATTTCCTTCTTCACAGTTTAATTTTCTATAATATTAGTTTAGATAGGCACTATGGCATAAGTCTATAATCCCAGCGACTCAATAGGCCAAGGCAGGAGGATTGCGAGTATGAGTCCAGCCTCAGCAATTTAATGAGGTCCTAAGAAAAATTAGCAAGATCCTGTCTCTAAATAAATAAATAAATAAGCGAGCTGGGGATGTAGCTCAGTGGTAAAGTCCCCCAGGGTTCAATCCCTAAATAAATAAATTATATATATTCATATAAAATATAAGTTTAAACATATTGTGGTAAATAAAACTTACCACTTTTTCAAATTTTTTTGCAGTGCTGGGGATGAAACCCATGGCCTTGCACATGCTAGGCAAGCCTCTATCACTGAGCCAAAACCCCCAGCCCCATTTTAACCCTAAGTGTACAGTTTAGAGGAATTAAGTACATTGAAAGTACAGTACAACTATCACCATTATCCATCACCAGAAATTTTTCATCTTTTTAAAAAATACTTTATTTATTTATTTTTTATATGGTGCTGAGGATCAAACCCAGTGCCTCACAAGTGCTAGGCAAGTGCTCCACCACTGTGCTACAACCACAGTCCCTCTTTCATCTTTTCATACTGAAAGTCTGTACCTATTAAACACTAACTCCCCACTAACTCCCCACTAACTCCCTACAAGCATCCTAATTTCTGTCTGATTTTTGACCATTCTAGGCAAAATGGAATTCTACGGTGTATGTCCTTTTGTAACCAGTTTATTTTACTTAGCACAACATGTTCAAGTTCATCTGGGTTGTAGCATATGTTAGAATTCTTTTAAAAGCTGAATAATATTCCATTGTATATATAGACCATTCAACAGCCAATGAACATTTGGGGTGGCTTCCCCTTTAAGGCTATTGTGAATGATGCTGCTATGAGTGTGAGTACAGAAATAACTGTTCACGTCTCTGCTCTCAGTTCTTTGGGGTACATAGATAGAGGTGGATAAAATAATTCGGTTTTTCATTTTTTGATAAATCAGTTAAAATTTCTTAAGCTTTGTTTGTGGGGAGGCAAAGTGGGGGGGGTGAAACCAGAGGTGCTTTACCACTGAGCTATATCCTAGTCCTTTTTAAAAATTATTTTCTATATTGATACGGGGTATTAGTAAGTTGCTGAGGGTCTTGCCAAGTTGCTGAGCTTGCCTCGAATTTATGATTCTCCTGCCTCCATCTCCCTAGTCACTGGGCTTACAGGTATGCTAAATTGTTTCTTTTTTTAAACAACAAAAAATAAGAATCAAAACAGACTCCAGGCACAGTGGTGCCTGCCTGTAATCCCAGTGACCCGAGAAGGCTGAGACAGGACGATCACAAGTTCAAGGCTAGCCTCAGCCAATTAGCAAGACCCTGTCTCAAAATGAAAAATAAAATAGGTTGGTGTGTAGCTCAGTGGTAAAGCATCTCTGGGTTCAATCCCTAATAAGGAAAAAAAAAAAAAGAATCAAAATAGTCAGTTTGATAGTAGCAGAAAAAATCCTGCCATGTCTAATCATCCTGATTTTTAATGTTTACTTATCTAAAGTCTTGTCTCCCCCGCCCCAAGGGTCAAATCCAAGGCCTCATGCACTCTGCCACTGAGCTACTTCCCTAGCCCTTGACTTTTTTGATTTGTTGTTATTAGAAAGATTAATTAAAAGAAAGCACACTTAATTTTTATGTTTTATTTATTTGCTTATTTAGATTAAAATATAAACATAAAACTTAACCATCTTAACTATGTCAAGTGTACAGGTAGTGGTGTTAAGTCCAGGTTTTATTTTAAGGCTGGTAATCTCATCAAAGTCTAATCCCATCAGGTTTCTGCAGGTGTCCTGAGGCTTAGAGTCCTGGGATCCTCCACTTCCATGCACTCCCCCCACCTCAGTGCCCTGTTCTCTTCCTGTCCCCTTCCTCAAAGCCACCAACAGAATTGTCTTGAATCAGGCTGCCCTTGCACCGTCTTTGTAAGGACACTAACACATCAACTGTTCTTGTAGCCTTTCACATTAATTGGTTGTGACTTTGCAAAACAAAATATGGGTGCCTAATGAGCCGTGTTGTGTGCAAGGAGCTTGTCAGACCAGGTATTTATAACTATGCTCCCCCTCCAGCTCACCAGCCCTACCACCCCCACCCCACACACCCACACAAAAGCAGGTGGCTTGTGTGACTTTGGGTATGTCACCTCCCTTTTTTAGGCCTTTTGTCATTTGTTGATGAGTGAGTCAGAAATCTCTGGAAGATTCCTGGACTCCAGACCCCCATTATACTCCATCACACGGTGCTGCAGTCTGCTCTGACCATTAGCACCAGGAGAAAGGAGCAGAGAGATGGCAGAAGGCTGGGGCCCGAGATGCAGGCCTAAGCCTATTTTTATGCTCTCAATCTTTCTCCTGACACTGTTACTACTCAAGCTCCACCTCACAGATATTTTCCAACCAAAATTGAGGTTAAATGGTCTGAAAACAAGGAGAGTTGTGTTAATTAAAAGTGGGAAGGCAGATGGGTCAGGCAGGCATGAGGGGTGTAGGGGGAACCAGATGGCAGGAGCAGTTTTGTAGAGGCCAGTGGGCAGAACAGGGATGGGGCAGCCTCCCAGGGGCCAACAGAGGATACACCATGGTGCTCTGGGAGTAGAATGGCCAGAATCTCCACATCCTATTTCCTGGCCTCTGTGTGAACGTTCTGGGGGCTGGGGGCTGGCTTGGAGGTGACACTGAGTTCAACAGAGCCACTGCCCACTCCCGCCCCACCTTACCAGGAAACGCCTTCTTGCCGCAGTGACCACATCCCCTCAGGTTGCCTTGGCAACACTCCATGGGGGCTGGAGGAGTTGGGTCACAGTTGCCCAGCAACAGGTGGTGGCCTCCCTTCCGCCCTTCTGTGAGGCCAGCCCTCTCTGTGCCTTCAGGCCTTTCAACAACCGCTGGGCACCAACCGGAGGCTCTGAAGAGAGGAAGAGGAGCCCAGGGCTGACCCGAGGAGGTGAGATGAGGGGTGCAGGAGGCCCCCGCAGAGGGAGGACCTGGGGTCGAGAGAAAAGCAGGCAGAGACAAACAAGGGAGGTAGGGACAGGCCGAGATAGCACAGCTGGAGAGGCTGGGACAGGTGCAGAGGTGGCACCAGAGACCTGGCACAGCAGCAAATATGGTGGAGCCCTGAGAGGAGACCACCTCCAAGGAGGGAGGTGACTCAGTAAAGGAGCACTGAGGTGGCCTCAGCAGCGACAGCCAGAGAGGGGGTGCCCATGCAGAGGACGGGGCCAGGAGGGAGGGAGATTCTCTCATTTCCTCTCCTACTACTTCCTCTCTAGGCCAGAGGACCCGAGGGGCCTAGGAAAGAAGCCCTTGTGGCCCCGAGGCTTTTGTCTGGGAGGAAATGGGGCTTCCAGAAGGGGACTGGAGGGCCTGCAGGAGGAGGTCCGCCTGTCCACTGGCCCCGCCTGGCTTGTTCTTGTCCCCTTTGGGTTCCCTTTGTCCCTCTGTCTGCGAGCTGGATCCCGAGTCCCCTTTGCCTTGTCCCTTGTTGTTTCCTGGACGCTGTGCCCCTGTCCACGTCTTGGTTGTGCTGACGCGGCCTTACTTGCTCCCTCTTCTCACCTCTGGGTCTCCAGATGCCTGCAACTCGTGGGCAGCCATCTGAGCCCATGGAGGCACCCAGTGCGTCCGAGACAGCCTTGTGGCCTCCGCTGCCCTGTGGCCCCTGCATCCCCATCATGCTGGCCCTGGCCTCCCTCGCCGCCTTCTTCATCCTGACTACAGCCGTGTTGGCCGAACGCCTGTTCCGCCGCTCTCTCCGCACAGACCCTGGGACCCACCACGCACCCACCCTGGTCTGGCGCCCCGGAGGGGAGCTGTGGATCGAGCCCACAGGCACGGCCCGAGAGCGCTCTGAGGACTGGTATGGCGCAGCAGTCCCCCTGCTGTCGGGCAGGGCCCCAGACCCTCCCACCCCTGGGGGCACTTTGGAGGCCCAAGCAAGCGCCCCACTTGCCCCTTTAGCCCCACACTCTGCTCCCAGTTCCTTGGTCCTCCAGACCCCACCTGAGGTCCCAGCCCAAAGCACCTTCTGGGGGCCCCAGCCCCAGGAAGAGAGGCCCCATACCACGGGCCTGGTGAGTTGGGCTGAGCCTGAGCTGAGGTCAGAGGTCAGCATGCAGTTGGGGAGCCCTAAGGCCTGGAGGCAGAGGCCAGGGAGCCCTGAGCCTGACTGGGGACTCCAGCCTCGGGTCACCCTGGAGCAAATTTCAGCATTCTGGAGGCGGGAAGGCCGGACCAGTGTGGGGTTCTGAATCCCCAGAGCCTGTGTGACTGGCCTCCCAGAGACCCCTACAAAAGGCCCCATATCCAAGGGACCATGAGATCCCAGGCTTCAGCCTCAGGGCTGGTCTTGAGGCTGCCCCAGAGAAGATATTCTCTCAGCCTTCTGTCTGTATTTCAATTCTCCTGAGCCTGGACGGTGGGCAGCCTGAGTGTGGACAGAGTCGTGCTCCAGGGAACCCATAGGTGCCTCTGCTTAATACTCTGAGCTGTGGCTCAGAGAACCGGAAGTGCTGCTGACAGAAAGCTCCAAGACTGATTTTCAGAGTAAGAACTCAAGGTAACAGACAGGAAATAGTGTCAACCCAGCCACTTCCACCTTCTAACAGTGTGTGTCTATGATGCCCTATGAAAGCAAAGGGATGGATGGTGACTTGTGGCCTGGATGTGAGATGTCAAGAGAAAGAGACAGTTGTGTTGGCAACAGATGACAGGAATCCAGCCTCCCGGAGCCACAAATCTTATCCCTCCGAAGCCATTCTATCCCTAACTGCTGTGAGGTCCTCAGGAAAACGCAGAAGACGAGATCAAGCAAAGGAGCCTTTTATTACATATGAACTATGACTCTGACTCTCAAATGGCAAAGGAACTTGCTGAGCCAAGCTGAAGGGCCCTTCTCTTGCCTGGAGTTGGGACTTAAAGTCAAAGAACAGGCTCCTCTGCCCATCTGCCTATGGCTGACTCATCTCAGCCCTCTGATCTTACTCCAGGGTGAGGAAAACCTGGGCCAAGAAGAACCCAATCTGGTCAAACTTGGAAAGAAGACTTTCCAAAATGCAGTCTCTGGCCATCGTCCCTCTCAGCTTTCTGCATAGTCCACAGAGACAGGCTTACATATGACTGACCCCATAGAAATGGTACCCCAAATGCCTGTGGGTCTACTAACTGACCTCCCTACTAGGAGAGGAGCTATGGGTGGCAAGTTTCTATTCCCTGGTTTTTCAATTTCTCAAATTTCTGTAAGGATTATTAGGATTTTTGTTACATTAGCTTATCAACCTGCACTGTCATTGGCTTTACATTTTTCTTTAAGTTGGCTCTTAATAAATTTACTTTTAAAGGAATCTCTTTTTGTATCACTTCTACAAATGGAAAACCAGTATCACTTGCCATAAATAGAAGGTCAAATGTGAAAATAAATACAATGTAAATGAAGTTATTAAGTTTCAAGTAGACATTGTTTCCAGTTAAAGGCTTTGACCCCAAACTCTGCCTTTGTTAAAAAAAAAAAAAAAAAGCATACTAATGGATCAGCAAGTCGGAAAAGTGTCAGATTCTAGCACCAAACAGATCTTCTCCTGGAGTGCTGAGGTGGWTGGAGTTGACAGTGATACTACGTTGTTATTTATTTATGGTGGTACTGGGAATGTGCTGGGCACTGAACTACATCCTCATCCCTTTTTATTTTTAATTTTGAGACAAAGTATTGCCAAGTTACTGTGGCTGGCCTCAAACTTGTGATCCTCCTGCCTCAGCCTCCCAAGTAACTGGGATCACAGGCAGGCTCAGTCATGCAGGGAAACCTGTATTGTGGCTAGGAGCCTCTCAAGTGCAGCCATGCCCAGGGAATCACTCTGTACTTCCTGCTCAGGCAGCTGAGGAGCACTTGGAGACTCCCCTCTAGTCCCTCGCATGCTAGATGTTGAAGGAGCAGTCAAGCAACAAGTAGCCCCCAGGTAGAGGGACCAAGAACCCTGCGAAGCCTCTGTCCCCAGGTGCATCTTGAACACCTTCTTCTGAGCCAGGTGTTGGAGGAATCAGACCTGCCCCTTCCCTCAAGGAACTCATAGTATCAGGTTGGGGGAWGAAGGCAGGGGTGAGATGGGACACAGACTTGAAACTGATGCAAGGTAGAAATCAGGTCAAAACTGACACAAGGGCCAGGAGTGGTGGTGCACACCTGTAATCCCAGCAACTCAGGAGGCTGAGGTAGGAGGATCACAAGTTCAAAGCCAGCCTCAGCAACTTATGATACGCTGTCACAAAATTTAAAAAATAAAATAAAAAGGGTTGAGGATGTAGCCCAATGGTTAAGTGTCCCTGGGTTAAAAGAAAAGTAAAGAAAGAAAGAGAAAAAGAAAAAGAAAAGAAAGGAAGGAAGGAAGGAAGGGGCTGGGGTTGTGGCTCAGCGGTAGAGCGCTTGCCTCACACATGCGAGACCCTGGGTTCTATCCTCAGCACCACATAAAAAAACAAATAAGTGAAACAAAGGTATTGTGTCCAACTACAACTAAAAAATAAAATATTTTTTAAAAAAGAAAGAAAGAAAGAGAAAGAAAAGGAAAAACTGATACAAGATGAAAATCTTGTCACTCATGAGCTGGGTAACTATATCAGTTGTCATGGTCATGGTCATCAGCTGACAAGATGGTTTGTGGGGACTCTGCTCACGAAGAGTAAACAGTCTACCAAGGGAAAAACTAAGAGAGACACTGGGGTTCAGAACTTAGGAGCTCCCTGCCAGTGCTCAGGAGAGACAGCATGCGCTAGACAGGAAACCAGGGTAAGGTGTCTGGCTTTCAGTTTGACTTTAATTCCCATCACTTTAGAGAGTTAAGAAAAGTGTTTTTTGTTTTTTGTGTTTTTTTTTAAGGCCTTATGTTCTTTCTCTGTACAACAAGAGACAGGCAATAAAACAAGATGTTCTATTGCAAATTTTTTTAGCTGTGACACTGGAGGATGCTATAAAATGAAAGGTGGCTGAGCCAATGGATGGGTGGATGGAGGGAGAATGGATAGCTGGGTGAGCGGAGTTGTGGCTGGTGGATAGATGAACACATGGACAGGTACACACGATCTTCCTGAGGCCAAGTMCAACTTGCTATTCCCAGAATCATCTTCCCATTCCCAGACCCAGAGCATGGGGTTCCAAGACATAACAGAAACCTCAATTGAAAGGGGATGAATAAGTGGATGGATTAATAGGTGCATTCGTTTTCTCTTTTCTCCTTTCTCTTTCTTTTAAACCTCTCTCATTTTTAACACCATATTTAACACCATCTTTCTCATGTTGGTTCACTCTTTTACATCTTTAAGCATTTAAATTGTACTTACTGTACAGTCCTTTACCCAATAACTTTAATGTCTGGGGTTCTAGGCCAAGGCRAATCCTGTTGGATGTTGTGTGCTTCGTCTCATTCACCACAGATTTTTTCTTACATTTTGTAATTTGAGGTATGATCTGAGCTTCATCAGAGTTTTATCAGTAGGAATTGACATGACCAGGTTTRAGGATGCTATACTTTGGATCTTCAATGTCTCCCAAAGGCCCCATGTGTTAATGGCTTGGTCCTCAGGGTAGCACTATTGGAAGGTGAAATCTTTAAAAGGTAGGGCCTTGTCTATGACCATACTACCCTGAATGCACCCAATCTTGTYTAAAAGGTAGGGCCTAGGGGGAGGCATTGGGGCCAGGCCCCTGAGGGAGATTTTGGGACCCTGGCCCATCCAGTCTCTCTCTGCTCTCTGGTTTTTCTTCTACCATGTACTCCTATCGTGAGGTGCTGCCTCACCACAGGTCCRAAGCAAAGGAACCAACCTGTCATGGACTGAACCCTCCCAAACTGTTGCCAGGTATGGTGGCTTATGCTTGAGTCCCAGCTACTTGGGAAGATGAGGTAGGAGGATCACTCGAGCCCATGAGTTTAAGACAACATASTGAGATTCCATCTCTATAAATAAATAAAATTATGAGCCAAAATATACCTTTTCTCTTTAGAAGTTGTCTCAGTCATTTTGTTATATTAACAGAAAGCTGACTAACAAGGATTAGTCTTTCTAGAGAAGTTTTGTGTTTGATTTTTGCCTCAGATAATTCAGGGGTATTACCAATCCTGGACCACAATATTTATTAAATGTATTTGGGTTTCCCAGACCATGAAGATGGTGTAAATTTGAACCTCAAATCTAAGTGAAGGCAAACAGTTGGTTATAAAATATCAGGGGACACTTTTTATTGTTGTCAGATCTCAGGGTGTGACAGACAAGCTCTTTTGTGCTCCCTGGCCTGGGAGTCAGATGTCATCCTTTAAAGATCTAAACTTTCCAACAGGATCTCAGTTTTTAATTCCCCAGGGAATGGAACTCAGTAGCCTCTGGAGGCTGAGGCAGAAGGATCCAAGTTTGAGGCCAGCTTTGGCAATTTAGTGAGATCCTATCTCAAAATAAAAAGGATTGAGGATGTGGTTCATAAGTAAACTGCTCCTGGGTTCCATCCCCAGTACTGGTACTGAAAAAAAAAAATTCCCCAAGCCTCTTTTTTGCCAAGAGCCTCAACCACCCAGCACCTCCCACAGCTATGGTTTTCTATTTCCTCTTCACGTGCTCCTTCTGGGGAGGTCTCTTACTTTCTTGTGGCTTGGCTATGCTTCCCACCCCCTCCCCCCGTACTGGGGTTTGAGTCCAGGAGCACTCTACCACTTAGGTACACCCCCCAGCCCTTTTTATTTCTGAGACAGGGTCTCCCTAAGTTGCCCAGATGGGGTTTGATCTTGTGATCCTTCTGCCTCAGCCTCCCAAGAAGTTCAGATTAAAGGCATGCACAACACACCTAGCTCAGCTGTTCATCTTAAAGGACATTTGCTTAATTTTATAAAGTGCTTCTGGATGTTTCATGGTGGAGACATGCTTGGCAAGTTAATCTATTTATAATATCATAAACCCACACACACTCACACAAAACCAGACTATTTCCTCATATAAATGAATTTCAGATCTCTTTCACCAAGTGCTGGGTGTGGTGGTACATGCCCATAGTCCCAGATACTCAGGAGGCTGAAGCAGGAGGATCACTTGAGCCCRGGAGCTGGAGGCCAACCTGAACAACAGAGTAAGTACCCTGTCTCAAAAAACAAGCAAACAGACATCTCCTGCACCTTAAAACACAGCCAACCATGAGCCGGGTACTACGGTGGTGCATGCCTACAATCCCAGCGGCTTCAGAGGGCTGAAGCAGGAGGATGGCAAGGTCAAAGCCATCCTCAGCAACTTAGTGAGGCCCTGTCTCAAAATAAAAAAGAAAAGGGCAGGGATTGTGGCTCAGCGGTAGAGCACTCGCCTAGCATGGGCAGGACCCGGGTTCAATTCTCAGCAACACATAAAAATAAAGGCATTGTGTTGTGTCCATCTACACCTAAAAAATAAATATTAATAAATAAATAAAAATAAATAAAAAAGAAAAGATACAAAAAGGGCTGGGGATGTGGATCGGTAGTTAAGTACTACTGGGTTCAATCACTGGTACTTACACACACACACACACACACACACAGCCAACCAACAATGAATTCTCTCTTTCACATATAGCATGACTTCTCATCTCCTTCATAGCCAGTTCTGGAAAGAGTTATCTAACCTAACAGTCTCAATTTTCTTGCCGGCTTTTCCAGAACTCTACAGAAACTGCTTTTGCCAAAATCATGCCTGTATATTTTAATCAAAGGACACTTGTAAGCCTCTTGCAGGCAGCATTAGACATGGTGATTCACTCCTTGGAAATTTCTTTTCCCTCAGCTCCTATGACTCCACAGAAGCTTGGCATCCCTTCTTTCTCTCAGTGGTCACACTCCCTGGCTCTCCTTGCTGGGTGGCAATCTCACCCATGACTTCAATTGCTGTCTCAGACCCTGCTGATCTCCAAGTCTGTACCTCCAGCTTGTACACGCTGTCTTCCTAAACTGATGATTATAAAGCAACACAGTATGATTTCTGTATTAGTCAGGGTTTCCTAGAAAAACAAAATCAACAGGAAGTATGATTATTACAAGGGGTTTTAGCCAGGCACAGTGGCGCATGCCTATAATCCCAGTGCTTGGGAGGCTGAGGCAGGAAGATGGGGAGTTCAAAGCCAGCCTCAGTAACAGTGAGGTGCTTAGCAACTCAATGAGACTCTGTCTCTAAATAAAATATAAAATAGGGCTGGGGATGTGGCTCAGTGGTCAAGTGCCCCTGAGTTC